CTGGTGGTTCCCCTGCCGTTGTTCAGAATGGACCGAACATCTACATTGCCTTCCAGTTGAAATTTCTGAGTAGAATTACACAGCAGAAGCTCCTGTTTGCTTTTGGGACGGCCACGCCAGTTAATGACCGATTAACAAAACATCAGGATAAGATATCGGTTTCCTTCGATTTCTCATCGAGTAAGTCTCTGCCATCTAGCCTTTCTTCTTCATTTTTTGCCTTTTTTTTTTTTTGCGTCTCCACCCCAATTAAAACAAAAAACAAACTTAAGATCTTGTGTGATGTCATATTTAGACTTTTTTTTAAACATTTAGATGAATTTTATGTAAGATTCAATTCCAAAATCTCTTAATTTGTGACCAAAACTCCAGACCAGCATGCCAAAAAAAAAAATTCAAATAAGTTTGAGGGCGCACGAGAGCAACTAAACCAACTAAACATCAAGTATATTGCAAACCATTGAATGGATCAAAATAATTAAGAGGTAAAACATAAGCACTAAAGTGAAGGTTTCTTTTTTTAAAGGAATCAAATTTCAGTAAGTGAGGATTCATAATGCCACAACTTTTTGGTATAAGACTGAGGCTTTATTTAATACAATTTTTTTATTGCTTCTTGAAATAGCTTTTTAGTAAAAAAAATTAATTTTTTTTAAAAAAATTTACATACATACCACTTTATAATATCCTATTTACATATCTAACACCTAAAATTTTAATATTACATATATATCACCCTATATTATTTTAATATCAAATATACCTCTTATATTTCTTTCCTACCACTCATATATTTCATTTCTACCACTCATATTTGATATGAAAATGAACTATGAGTGGTATGTATGTAATATTAAAGTTTTTAAGTGTTAAATATGTAAATAGATTAGTATAAGGTAGTATATATGTAAATCTCCTTTTTTTTTATTATAAGGCTGCTTTAAGAAGCAGTAAAAAAAACTGTTCCAAACAAAACCTGATTATAATGATGAACTAAACTGGATAAAATATTAAGAATAACTGAAAATTCCCGCATGCACAACTAACAAGGCGTGTTCTTATTTTCTAATTCTATGTAAATGATTTTATCCTGTTACAAAGTTCAACTTGAATATCACCATGAAGAAATTTCACCGATAATATGATTGATCTCAAGCTTGATTTACAGGGACTTTCTCTGCTTCTTCCTACCCATACCAGCTGAAGAGGACACATGGCATACTGAACATAATTGGTTGGGGTGTGATATTGCCAATTGGGGCAATAGTGGCAAGATATTTTAGAACCAGCGATCCATTGTGGTTCTATCTTCACTCAGCAGTTCAGTTTATTGGATTCATCCTTGGGCTAGCTGGGGTGGTTGCCGGAGTTGCACTTTATCATAAATTGCATGCGAGTGTCTCATCACACAGGGCCCTTGGCATTGTCATTCTTGTGCTTGGCATCCTTCAGGTATGGAAAGAGTTTGTTTTCTTTAGAATAAGTTTATCTTGAACCATAATGTTCTAGTTACATTTTTTTATTTTTGAATTTGACTCCAAGATTGAATATTGCTTGAAAATTGGATTTATTTTTATATGATTGAGCACAAATTAAGGCTTCGTTTGGGATGACTTTCTTATTGCTTCTTAGAGCCGCTTTTTAGTTAAAAAATTTAAATTTTTGTACTAGGAAGCTACTTTATGAAGTAGTAAGAAAGTCAGTCCCAAACTAAGGCTTTGTTTGGAACGGTTTTGT